TAGGGAAGGCTTTGTGGAGAAAATAACCTTGAAGCTGGAGTCATAAAGGACAAATTAGAGTTAGCTAGACAAAGTGGAATGGAAGAGAAGGCATCTCTTAAGGAGAGGGAACAGTAAATGCACATTGAGGTCCTGGGATGGAAAAAAGCCTGTGTTGTTTATTTGCAGATGTAGAAACCTGATGTTTCCAGGGTCTCAGAGTGAACTGTATTCAGTCTGGAGATGGAGTCACAGGAATCAAATCACGGTGGCTTTATATATATACCAGACTAATAATAGATAATCTGTAATGAAGTAAATATCATGCCGACTAGAATGCCCATGACTTGAATATTTTTCCCCCCGTTGATAAATCTATGTGAGAAGCTTATTTATGCTTGTAAAAATTGCTTTGTAATCCTAGCGTCCAAATTGGGGGTTAGTTGCATGATTCAGAGGTTCCTAGTCTATGATTGCTTCTGCATGCTTCTCTAGAATATGAATAGAACTACCATTGGGAATAAACTGGCTAAATTTGAGGGCCTTGTCTCTTATGTAGTGTTGGGTCATACAGATTGATCACTGTATTTTTTGTGACTCCCTCTTTTCTGTTTTTTTTTCTTTCTTTGCGCTGGCCATCCAGATTATATTGTCATTTCTTATGTTTTTATCTATTACAAACTTTTTTATTTTTCAATTACAGTTGACATAGAATATTATATTAGTTTCAGGTGTACAGAATAGTGATTAGACATTTATATAACTTACGAAGTGATCCCCCTGATGTAAAGTACAGCATGGGAAACATATTTAATATTATTGTAACAACTATGTATAATCTAGCAACCACCTGATCATACATAGTTATTACAATAATATTAAATATGTTTCCCATGCTGTACTTTACATCCCTGTGACTATTTTGTAACTGCCAACTTGTACTTCTTAATCCCTTCACTTTTTGACATTTTTTATTGCTTTATGTCCAATTACTAAATTTTACTAATTCTGCTTCCTTAATGTCTCTTGAATCTATCTACTTCTTTTAATCCCAACCGTCTCCATAATTTCTTGCTTCGTTACTGACATAACCTCCTAAGTGGTCATATTCTTCCCTGGTTTTGTGGTCCTCCAATTTCTTCTTCACACTATGACCATAATGAACTTTCTAAAGTACAATTCTGATCATGCAATGCCCTTCTTAAAACCTTTGAATGTCTCCCTATAGTCTTTGGGATTGTGTTAATAAGGGTCTTGATAGGAAACAGAATTTACCCAAGATGGGTAAAGAGGAGGTGGTACATATATAAAACAGAATATTGCTCCTCCATGGAAGAGAATGGGCTCTTGCCATCTGCAGTGGCATGGGTGGACCTGGAGGGTATTGTGCTGAGTGGAGTGTCAGACAGAGAAAGACAGATGCAAAGTGATTTCGCTTATGTGTGGAACCTAAGAACAAAATTAAGAAACAAAACAAAAACAAACTCATAGGTACCAGAAATATTTTGATGGTTGCCAGATGGGAGGGGAGTTGGGGGTGTGGGTGAAAAAAAGGGAAGGAATTAAGAAGTACAAATTGCTTGTTAGAAAGTAGTTATGGAGATGTAGGGTGTAGCATGAGGAATATAGTCAGCAATATTGTAATAACTATGTCAGATGGGCACTAGATTTATTGGGATGGTAGATGGGAGGAGGTTGGAGGACAAGGTAAAAAAGGTGAAGGGATTAAAATTGGTAGTTACAAAATAGTCATGGGGATGCAAAGTAAAGCATAAGGAATATAGTCAATAACATAGTAGTAACTATGTATAGTGCCACGTGGGTTCTAGACTAGTCAGGGAAATCACATCTTAAATTGTATAAAGGTCTAACTACTATGCTGTACACCTGAAATTAATATAAAATAATATTGAATGTCAACTATAATTGAATAATTTAAAAAGGGGGGAAAAGATGAAGGGGAATAAGAGGTTCAAGTTTCCAGGTATAAAAGAAGTCATGGGGATGTAATATTCAGCATGGGGAATATAGTCAATAATATTGTGATAGCATGGTAGTCAGATGGTTACTAGACTTATCATGGTGATAACTTCTTTAACTATATAAATGTGAATAACTATGGTATACTCCTGAAGCAAATATAATCTTGTATGTTAACTATATTTTAATAAAATCTTAAAATTTTTTTTTAATAATTAAAAAAAAGAATATGCACCAGATGGTTCAATGGAAGAAACTTTAATAAAAGCACTACTTGCAGGTATACATACAAGGTTAAGGACGCAAACAAGGAATGGAAAGGCACCCAGAGATTAACCGTAGGGAGACCCGAGGGCTGAGGAGACAAGGAAAAGTAGTTACTGGTCCACAGTGAGAGCTGGGGGAGGAGCCAATTGGCAGAACTTTACTGACAAGGGCACAACTACTGCTGTAGATACGACACCAAAGCAGGAAGAGGTGGGGAAGAAATACCATGACCTTTCCTCCCTCCTGCCCATAGATGACTTGCTGGAGCTTTCTATTACCCAAATTGTATGGGAAACCAGCTGGCAAAGGGAGTTGGGTGATGCAGTCTGCAGTGGTCAGCTTGCTAGGGGCACAGAACAGGGCAGAAAAGGTAGAACATGGGTCTGGGCAGGGGTGGGGGGTGAGATATGGCAAATGTTGAATGATCAGCATAGGGATTCATAAAAATAGCATCTAACTTGCTGAACAGAATTATTATGAGGGCTAAATAAGATGTTCCTGAAAGTGCTTGTCACAGAGTGGGTGCTTGGTGAGTTAATATCCTTTTTGTTTATCATATCCCAGCCCTTGGTAGAGAGTAGATGTTAACTAAATGTTTGTTAAACTATTTCTACTGTTCTCTTTCCATGCAACTTTATTATTTCCTATAGGGGAAACTCATTGGGGTTTCTAAGCCCCTCTCCCTTACCCCCCCAAAGAACTTCCTTCCTCATCAGGACTGGAAACCTGTGATTTTCGTCTCCTTTCTGTTTTTAAATTTTTAAAAATTTTTAATGGAAACTTTCAAACATACATAAAAATGAACCTCCCTATATCTCTCATTCACTAATTGATAATAAGAAATTATCAACAGCTTGTTAATCTTGTTTTCATTAACCCCCTCTCTTCTTATTAACTTATTTTAAAACAAATCTCAGAAATCAGATCATTTTCCTATTAACCTCTTTAACCAATAAGACCTTTTATCTTTGACAAAACCACTGTGCCATTACCACTTCCGATAAAGACAAAGATAAATCTTTAATTTTGTCTATTGCTCAGTTCATGTTCAAATGTTCCCAATTGTCTCAAGATGTCTTTTCTGGTTGGTTTGTTCATGTCAGCAACCAAACAGTCCCACATCTATAATTCCTTTTAGTTAAAATTCCAGTCCAACCTGAGGGTGGTGTCTGCCCTAGAGGCAAGTTGTGGCAACAACCTGGGTGTGGGGCATTTTGGGCAACGCTGGCTGGTAATATTTCCTCCTATGTTCTCTTTATCCTACACACAAAAGAGGCAGCTCCAAACCCCCTAACTGCTGACGGCCCTCCAGCCTACCCAGTGGGGCCGAGTCTCTTCTTTGAGCCTGGGGAAGGGATAATTTGGGGTGAGATATCTGCCAAGTATGATAACTTGCAGTGCTACCTATTCCAGCTCAACTTATTTAAGGCTCTTTTATTCATTGCCTTATAGGTAGGGCTGGGGCTGAAATGGTGAGGAGGTATGTGACATAAGGTTGAGGTTTAGGGGCAGTTCGTCAGCCTTAATCTTACTAAGCTGATCTAAATCTTCAATAAAATTAGCTGTCAGAGATTCTAGATCCTAGCAAAGAAAAAGCATCGTACCACCAAGCTCCTTTGCCTCCTTTCCGTTTCCAGCTCCTTTAGGGTCAAAGGAAAATGGCTGAAATTCATGCACTGAGATGAAGAGAGATGTTACAGGTTATCAAATCCAACCTTCCAACCAGCAGGAGGCCCCCTGATAATAAGAACTAACGCCTTTACAAGCCAGTGGTCAAGTGACTTAGCACCACATGTGGGGAATCCAAATCCTATCTCCTCTGGGGGGGTCACGTGGCCTTTGTGTGTACCTCTTCAGGGAATGAAGACCTTATAATTCTCATTGTTATCAGACATCCTTGTGAGTTTCACTGAAATCTCCTCCGTCTGTTGGGAGTTTTGTCCTCTGTTGCTCTACAGAATGTCATGATTTGTGGGAGTTTGGGGGTGGTGGGGTGGGATATAAATCTATTCTAGCTGGAAAATGCACTTTAATTTACAAGAGAAACAGTCTTGTTGCCTCTGTACAATTAAATTATAAGTGTACAGGGCTAATAACAGCTAATATTTATTGGTTCTTATCATGTGCTGTATTTTTCCCAGAGCTGCAACAAAGTCCCACAGAGCGGGTGGCTCCAACAACAGAAATTTATCGTCTCACAGCTCTGGAGGCTAGCGGCCTGAGATCAAGGTGTCATCAGGGTTGGTTCCTTCTGAAGGCTGTGGGGGAGAATCTGTTTCCGGCTTCTCAGCTGGTCTTTGGTGATCTGCCAGGAATCTCTGGCATGCCTTGGTTGATAAAAGCATCCTCCCAACTTCTACCATCATCTTCACAAGATGTTCAAACTGTGTGCATGTCTCTGTGTCCTACTCTCCTCCTTCTATAAGGACTCCAGCCAATTAGATCAGGGCCCACTGGAATGACCACATTCACATTGACTAATTACATCTGCAATGATCCTGTCTCCAAATAAGATCGCGTTTTGAGGTACTGGGAGTTAGGACCTCAACATGAATTTTAGGGGACACAATCCAACCCATAACATGTGCCAATGCTTTGCATATATTTTGTGATTCTATTCTCACAATAACACTTGTAGGTAAATAGTAAGGAAACTGAGGCTTAAATAATTAAGTAGTTTGTTCATGATTGCGCAGCCAGTAAGTGGCAGAAACAGGATTTAGAACTTAGACACTTCCAGAACCCAGGATTTTAGCTACTTCATTATATTGTTTTATTTCTCCTTACATCATTTTTCTTTTCTTTCTTTCTTTTTTTACTGCCCCTTTCCTTAAAACTGCAGGAAATTACTTGCTAGAAACTAATGAACATTAGCACGAAGCAAAATTTCTATGGCGTCCTAACACTGCCACCTGGTGGTAAAATCAATCAAAGCCGTTTCCAACTTCCCAGCAAAAGTTGCATGAAATGCTCATTGGCCTTTTCCCTTAATTACACCAATACAATCAAGCAATTATGAATTCTGTTTGATCCTACTTTCAACCAAACACAAGTGATATAATAAAAAATTAGAACAAAACAGCACAAATGTTGAGCCCCTGAAGGGATCTAAATTTTGCTGATTAAAATAATATAACCCACCATAGAAAACTCTTGAGTACCTATTTTGTGATAATATATATTTAACAGCTTTACATTTTCAAAACCCACATATTTTTGAGACCTAACCAGGTCTTATTCTATTTTGAAAAACTGGTTTCTCCTGATGTACTGCTCTGATGACTCATTCTAGACACCATTTCTTTCTGCTGTTCAAACTCAGGATTCAAAAATAAATTAATTAGCAATTACTAACCATTAACTGCTCTTTGAAAGAAAAAAAGAGGGGCTGTACAGAAAAATTGGCTTTGTTGCTTTTCCATCTCCTAGCGTGCAATTTCCTAGACCTTTGTTTGGCACCTCTCTCTATAGTTTGCTATCCACCATTCAGTATGTTTTACTACAAATTCAGAAGTCATGTAGCGTAACATATTCAACAATAAACTAGGAAAAAAATCACATTGAAACCAACTGATTTTAGAGTTGGAAGACACCTTAGAGTTTATCTAGATCACACCAATTTGTTTGTGTTTTCATGGGGGAACAATTGGGAAATCATGGAAGAAAGGAATTCCTGAATTGACATTTTGGGGGTAGTGGTCCGAATCAGGAAGTACTCATTATGGCTTCCCGTAGCCTGCAAGAACATGGCCAAGTGGGATGTGGGCATTGAGCCTGAGCCTGGGATGGGGGTATTGATGAACAGCTTTAACAATGATTCATTTTGTCTTGGATCAAATGCTTTCAACCACAACATCATAACAAACTGGTGTGTCGAGCTTAGATGCAAGGCGTATTGCAGGTAATATGTTACAATTAATTACAGTGCCATTGTTTACAAATACTTTCCCCCAAACAACTTCAAACTAAAAGGAAAGTTGTAAGTACAGTACAAAGAACATTTTCCCCCCAGAACCATCTGAGAGTAAGTTGTCAACTTGATGTCCCATCGTCCCTTAATACTCTCATGTGTTTTCCACAAATAAGGACATTCTCTTAGATGACCTCAATACAGCCATCAAAATCAGGAAACCAACACTGAAAAAGTACTGGTGTTTTGTCCTCAGACCCCATCTAAGTGTTGCCAAATGTTCCAATAATTTCCTTAATAGCAAAAGGAGTCGGTTCAGAGTAAAACAATGCTTTTAGTTGTCAGCTCTTTTTAATCTCATTCACTTTAGAGTAGTTTCTCAGTCCTTTTTGACTTTCATTACCTTGAGACTTTTAAAGTTTGCAATTATTTTATAGAATATCCATCAATTTGTTTTTGCATGATGCTTCCTCATAATTAGATTCAGATTATGCATCTTTGGCAGAAATATCACAGATATGATGCTGAGTTCATCTGTGTATCTGATTAGGTGACTTATAATTTCAATTTGTCCCATTATTGATGATGTTCACATTGATTATTTGATTTAATGTGGGGTCTGCATGCAGTGTTGCCTTTGTAATTAATGAGCATTTTGTGAGCATACTTTGAAACTACGTAAATATTCCATAACTCATCAAAATATCAATTTATTATTTTATATCAGTGTGGATTCATCCTGTTTATCCAATGGGTTATAATCCATCACTATAATTATTAATTTTGATGCTCAAATTATTCCACATTTGGCCACTATCAGCTGGCTCCTTTGATCTACTGACAAATTCTCATCATTCTTGAAAATTTCCTTGCTTTCTGGTACAAAAAAATTTTCCGCCAACAGGTAGCAGGATGACTCAGCTTAAAAAAAAAAAAATTTTTTTTTTCCAAATTAATCTAGTATTTTCCCTGCTCCAGCCATGGAATCAGCCATTTTTTTTTTTAAAAGGAGTCCTGGTTTATTTTCATGAAGAATGTTATTGAGAAGCCAAGATCTGAGTGCTAGCTCTGGATATATGTGTGTACATGCATACACATATATGTGGTATATATACTCTACATGGAAAATCATGAGGTCATAACAGTGTTTTTAATTTCAATACAATGCCACAGATTCCACTCCAGTTTTTCCCTTTGCACACCTGCAACTCCTTTCTCTGGCAGCGAGAAACCTGGTTCTACTTATCCTTAGTATGCTTACTTATTTCATCAATCCCCCTGTATGCAACCAATATTCCGCGGTGGCTGCTGCCCCATGCCCTGCGTGACGGCCTCCTCACACACTCAGGTCACATGCGAGCAAGGTCTCTCCTCAGCACGGACCTGTTTCTCACCCTGCTCAGGCCGGCACCTCATCCTGAGCTACCAAGTCCCCCCAGCTCCCTGGATATGGATGCCTACCTTCCCCTGACTTAACTAATAGCTTCGGGACTGAAGTAAATGTTCAGGAACAGAGAGGAAGGAAAGAGAAGGGAAAGGAGAGGAGGAATAATAGGAAGAGTTGCACACAGACAAAACAACAACAACAACAAAAAACACACAAAAACCAAAAAACACCAAATTACAGCAAATTCTCTTTTTCTCACTTATGTTCTAATGTATCTTCTTTTCCCACTCAAAATATAAGCTTACTTATGTAAGTTCCATAAGATGGAGCCTTTGTCTGTCTTATTTACCATGACATGCCTAGCACTTAGCATTTTTTCTGACACAAAGTAGGTATGCTTAAACTTCGTGAATAAGGAATGAATAACATGAGAAAAAAAAAGAGCTTTATAGCTAACATATTGGGAAATGTATGTAACCTACAGCCAAACTTATCTAAGCCTTGTCCTGAAATCTGGCTGTGTGTCACACGTAGCACAGTATATGGCACATAGTAGGTATTCAATAAATTCAAGTGGATAGACACGAGGAATTATTTGATACATACATTTCAGCTGTTGTATGTGTCCCAGTGAGGGAAAAAAGCTGGGAACTATGGTTTTTAAATGATGAAACAGGTTTACTAAATTTTGAAACCATACTAGGGTGAAAAAGCTCAGGGTTCAATATGAACATAGCAAACAATAAAGTGTGTTAAATTAGTGAAGTGCAATTATCAGAGATAGAAACGGAGTTGGATAAATTCAGGCAAGTAAATCTAAGGAGGAAAAAGGAATCGAATAATTTAAACACAGGGTAAGACTGGCCAAGCGCAAACCCAGAAGGAAGAGATCTGTGGGTCCCAGCAGAGATGTTGCACAAACGACAAAGGGAAGAGGTTGAAGAGGTCACTCTGATTATAACCTTAAGAATGGGTTCTCATTTCAAGTTTTAGTGACATGATTAACATAAGTTGTTAGCACAATTCACCACCTTTGTTTACTTGTTACTATGCCCCTTTCTTTCTAGGCGGTAGGAGTGCTTTTCAAACTAAAATTTCTCAACTGCCTCCCCCACCTAGGTGGGGTGTGAAAAACAGGTCCTACAAACTTTTAAGCTAAAATATTTAGGCTATTTTATATTAGTCTGAAAGATGAATTGTCACCCATTCAACAAGTGTTTACTGTCTACTCTGTGCGAGGTGCTGTCTTTCTTGGTCGTAGGAGGTACAGAGCTGACAGGGCAGATAGGATCCCTATCCACATGGAGCTTGTAGCCTAATAGGGGCCAGCGTGGAGGGGCTCAAGGGAGGATAAAAGGACAGGTCACAGAGCCAAGATGTGTGACGCAAAATGGGAACTTTGGTGTTTTACAGTAACGAATTAGTCCTTTGGACCATGTGATCACTGTTTTTGCTTGAAATGTTGTAATTCCAAAAAACACACTTCCCCGAAGCAGGCATAAATGATGTTTTTGTATCCACCCTGTTCCTTACCCCAGTAGGACGGGGTCACTGGGTAGTGAATACAATATACTGCATTCCATACGGCTCTGACCCAGACTAGTTAATTTTATCTAGTTTGGCGCTCCATATGTGAGGCAAAGTGACAAAACTCTTCAAAAATAAGATATATGAAGAATGGTTAAAATAATAGGATCATTCAACTGATAGAGAGAGGTTGCTAGTGATTTAAATAACGGCCCTGAGACCTTCTAAAGGCAAATAACTGATGTTAGGCTATGAAGCTTTTCTCTGGATTTGAGTCCAAAGGTATTAGAAATACTCAGGTCCCTCAAACAAAAAGGAAGAATTACTTTCATTATTAGTAATATTACATTGATGCTGCACTAAAACAAACGAACAGAACAACATGCAATATCAGGGCTGGGAAACACACATAAGCCTAGATGCCAAGACTCAAATTTCATTTTTAGTTTCTAAAGTATTCCAAGTTGGATATTTCCAAGTTTAGTTGTCAGAGAAAGGAAAAAGGTCCCCTGAGACCATATGCAGAGGAAGGGCTGTAGACACAGATTGACTAACATTCTGCTTCCTGCTTTTTATTTGATTCAATTCTTTGGGAAAAAAAAAAGATATAAGAATTGCTGATGCACAGGCCAGCCTGATGCCAGCACATATTGGCTTTGAAAGCCTCTGTAATTTCTGTCTCTTTGTGATTATGTGTGCTGCTGTATAGAGCAAGGAAAACAGAACCTGCGGATGGGCTTCCCAAGTCCCACATCCACAGCCTATCCCTGCCAATGAAAGCACTGTCCCTTGAATGTCAGCTATAACCGATCAATTGACATGTATTTTCAACTATGTGCCAGACCCTGGGCAAGGTGCTTTCTCATAAAGTCGAGCTGGGTGAGAGGCTGGAATAAGGGCTACAGTCCAAACTTGGGGATCCAGTAGGGGCTCATGGGGGTCACATGCTCACACCCAGGACCTGATCTGAACATTTTCATAGGCCTTCTGAGTGTCTTCCTTACAGAAAATAGGAGAATTTTGCTTCTTTTCTTTCCCGTTCTTGTTAGTTCAAGTCCTTTTTCGTGTGTCCTAATAACCATATATTTCATTTTCCACCCATCCGGATTCCTTGCTCCTCCCCATTCGGTCTGGAGAGAACTCATAAATGTCATTGGTCACAAAGCCACTCTCTATGCTCGCCAGAGTCACAAATCCACTCTCAGATGGGTTCACAGCCATGTTGTCATAGTCACAAGACATGTCATCGGGAGTGCCTTCTCCCGAACATACTCGGAATGAGATGTTTTTCAGGTCTGGCCGGGTCTCGGCTAAATCAGCTTCACTTTGTTTTCGGATGACGTTGTAAACCTCTAGGTCTGGACTGTTTCCTTGATGAGGAGAGGGCCAAATGCTGTGCTGCTCCTTCGTGCTGGGGCCTGGCTGCTCCCGTTTCCTAGGACGAAATAAAACCAGGGCTGAGTATTTTAGACAAGGGGGCTGAGACTATCCCCGTGCCTCCAGGTCAGGCTGGAGGAAGTCATCCCGGCAATAACCAGCACTTCTCACCGACCTAAACTTACAGGTCAGGGCTGTGGGGTAGGGTGTGGTAACAAAACAGGAAAGTGTTGTTATGCTCAAAGCGATTGTGTATCTTTCATTCACTGCTGCCAGAGCACAGAACAGTGGTGCTTATCCTGGGCTCTCCAGAGCCCCCAGAGGCTCCATGAATAGAACTGGATGGGGGAAAACATCACATTTAAAAAACTCATCTCTAGGTGAAATTTAGCATGCCCTTCAATTCTAAATGTAGGTAACAAACCAGAGTAGAATTAGTAGTATCTTTGACTTGATCACCAATAGAAATCACAGATATTTTATCATATCACATTTATAATAGATGCCTTAACATATTTTACACTCATCTCTACTTCAAAATTATGATAATAATATCCACTACTAAAAGAAGCATTAGAAAAGATGCACATGTATTACTGTATCGCATTCATTTTAGGAAATATTTTGCTAAACTATATATCAGTATAATGACTTCCCTTGCAATCCAATGTATTTTATGCATTAAAAAAATATTGTTCTGGGCAGGAGGCCATAGGCTTCACCAGACTGCTACAGGAGTCTGTGACACACACAAAAGCTACAAAACCTCTGAGATAGAGACTCCAGCTTCTGAGTCCCAAATCCCAAATCCTGGTGAGGTGCTAAATAGTAGGGAAGGGAAATCAAGAACCAACTGTCGAGTAAGCAGTTGGAAAATATATTTGGAACTTTTTGAACTGAATTCTATTTTCAGATTAAAAGGAATTACCCAATAAAAATGATCATAGTAAGAGCTAACATTTTTTGAGTGCTTACTACATGTCCGTTCTGCATGTACTAACTGCTCTAATTCTAATAATCCTATAAGGAAGTTGTTATTAAATGAAGTAGGTTCTGCACCGGAATCTTACTAATGCATCTGAAATTAGTCATCAAAGGGCGTCAAATCTTAAACTGGACCTTTGCTTTCCTGTTGCAAAATGAGCTCACCATCCTTCTTCTTTGTATACCATGATGATGGGGAATAAAAAGATAGCCAAGAAGAGCTCTGGGCACCTCAAAAATGGTGACACATGATTCATAAACAGAGGTGCCCTAGGCTACTTAGTGTAGCTATTTTGTAGCAATCTATAATCAGGTATTCAATTGAAAGAAAAGTCAATTACAAGGATTTGGCTATTTCATTTTGAATAAAGTGATTTAGTTTCAGATGTTTCCCAGAATGCCTGGGAACAGTCATTTTTCCTATGGTTCACTATTCATTCCTTCACTTACCCAACAAAAATTTTTGGGGTGAGGGTACACATTCATGAGAGAACTTCGTTGAGTGATGAGTGGATACACAGGAGGTGAATAACACAGTTTCACCCCTCAAGTCATTTAAAATCTTCCACATAAAAAAATTAAAGGATGTAAGATCACTCTCTTCACCACAGCAAAGCACAAATGCTTAGTACTTCTGAATGCCTTGCGCACGACAGAGAATTGACTCTCATATCTGCAGTGGTGGTTCTCTTGGGGCTGCCATGACTTTTAATGAAGTAAACAGGGCATTGTCCAAATCTTAAAGCGTTCGGAAAACACAACAGTTTACACGATGAAGGTTTTACTTGCCTCCTTCTACAGATCCAAACCCAACATACAACTGTGGTGATGACAAGGAGGAGGAGAAGGGGAATGCTGGGGATTAGGATGTAGGCAAGATTCAAGGCAGCTTCTGAAAAGAAAAACGCACATTATCAGTATTAGTGATGTTTTTGTGTGCTTCAAAACAGGCTTAAAAAGGCATAATCAACACAAAGTATCCCAAAGAGCACATTCCTGAAAGGGAATAGATACACAATAACCCTGTTAGCAAAGTTTTCCAGTTTCAATAAATGAGCATTTCTTACCTGTTCTATTATCCTAAATAGTGGAGAAAAGAAATAGAAATTTTTGGGACTCATGCAAAATATCAGAAAGGCAGTTTCGTTTATTTTTCTTTTTTTCAGAGGAAAGGGATTCTCTCTTTTCTTGTCCTTCCTCTCCCTTAACAAACAGGGGCTGCTTGGGCAGTGCTGATGTCTTTGACTCTAAGGACAGAACTGGTAGTTCCTAAGGTGGGGTGGGGAGAGGGAGGAAGAAGAAGCAAGCCGGAAGTCTCAGGGTTTTTACCAGGAAAGAGAAGGTCACATGAAGATCATGAATCAGACTGTAGAACCTTCCCAACATTTCTGATTAAGACTAACTGCATCCAGTTGGGCACATGAGCAGTTACTGTGGAGGGCGCTTCGAAATCTGCTTTCCTGATCTTTTCTGTCCTTTAAGTCTTAGAACCAGAGAATTTTCCTGCAAGCGGCTTTGGGAGAAATCAAGGATTGGGGACTGACCCCTTTTCTACTCCTGAGTCAAGATTCCTGGCCATTCAGAGGCTGTTGCTTAGTTTTTCTGTGAGGCTGCAAACTTGACAAACACAAAGCAAACAAACAGACAATAAAACAAAACAAAATAAAAAGGAACAACAACAAAAACCAAAATGAAACCCACTTTAAATACCACCATATGCTTGATCACTGCATTGTACATCTGAAGCTGATGTTGTATAATATTGTATGTCAACTATAAGTGAATATATATATGTATATATAGTCACGGGATGTGGAGTCTAGTGTGGGAGTGGAGTCAATGGAATTGTAATAGACATGTATGATATGGAGGTGGGGAGTGGGGCGGCGGATTAGGGGAGGGGAGCTGTTACTTTGAGGGGTAAAAAGTACAACTATTGCACTGTGTTGTACACCTGAAACTAATTAAAATAAAATAAAATAAATACCACCATAATAACAAAGAGCAATAAAAATGCCACCTCTGCCCAGCACTTTACACTTTTATCAAAACATTTTCACGTATTATTTGTTCTATTATAATGAATTTGATTGGCCTTTGCCCCTGGTCCCTGGGAGGGAGGATTTAAATCTTTGAAAGTTATCAGATAATAGGAGTGACTGTTATTCATGAGCTCCTCAGATCACATCAGAGTTTGTGCTGACAGAAATGTCTCAGGATGGAGGCTGGTGGGAAGGGAGTAGGGCCTAGAGATTCAGCTCAGTTACATGGCCAATAATCAAATCAATCATGTTTATGTAATGATACCTCAATAAAACCTCTGTACACCAAATCTCAAAGGAGCTTTCTGGTTGGTGAACACAGTGCTGTGTCAGGAGCATGATAAGGCATCCTGATTCTTCAGAGAGAAGACACAGAAGCTCCCCATTTGGGACCCTTCCAGGCCTCACCTTATGTGTTTCTTCATTTGGCTGGTCCTGATTTGTGTCCTCTATAATGAAATATAGTTATAAGTATAGTATTTTCCTGAGTTCTGTGAGTTGTTCTACCAAATTAATGGACCCGAGGGGGTTGTGGGCACCCTTGGATTTATAGCCAGTTGATCAAAAGTGTGGGTGGCCTGTGGAACCCCAGAACTTGTGGATGATGTCTGAAGTGAAGGCAGTCTTATTGGGGTCTGGGCCCTTAGCCTGTAGGGTCTGCAATAACTTGGGGTGGCTAGTGTCATAAAGTAATTGCAGTATTGCAATATCCTATTTCAGTTTGTGGACACAGTCTCTCAGGTAGGTGAGAAAAATATTACTTCTTTTATGCAAATGATTAAACTGAAGCACAAAGAAATTAAGTGTTTTTTTGTTTTGTTTTGTTTTAAGTTGTCTGGTGACAAAAACCCAGATCTCCCTCTTGAAACTCAAGATGAGAGTTGAGGTTGAAAGTCAAGTGCACTCCAATTTATCACCCCATTTAAAAAAAAAAAATCTTTCGTGATTTAACTTTTAAAATATTTTGCCCATTTTCTCTACCTGATTCACAAATGAATATTAATCATGGATGTTATGCATCATGGCCTGGGTCTTTCTGCTCTTATTTCTCTACGTCCATTTTCTCAGTCTCTGCCCCTTTCTTCTCCCCATTACTTCTGGGTGGTTCCCAAGTCTCTGACTTCACATAGATTTTTTTACCCCCTGTTTAGTCTAATCTCCCCAATTAGGATAGCTTCATTTGCATATCTCTGATGAAATCTAACATTTAATGCAGTTTTTGCAAAGTCACAAATACCCTGTCTAATTCCCTTATTAAGCAGCTGAGGGAAGGAAGAAAGTAGGGAATGCAACCATGGGTAATTTATGATCAAGAGAGTCCCATTATCTATTTTTCCCAGGAGATTTCTGTATATACCTTTGTTTTCTTTAAATATTTCTTTGGCCTCTTCTTTCTCTTTGTCTCCTGGAAGGATGGGGGTGGCTGGCTCTGTTCCTTCACCTGGAGACAGATACACGAACTTGAGAACCTGGAGAAAGGCATCAGAATCCAGATGTTCCCTGAGGTCCTACCATGTTCAAGGTGAGATGCCAAAAAGCAGTAGCAACTTGACCAGTGCCATTTATAAACACAGGAAAGGAAACGGTAGAGTCTGTTGGTATAGAGGTTGAATTATCTTCATCTTTCTGGTGAGACTCTTGCTGCCAAGAATCATGTACTGAAATAACCAGCAAGCGGTTGGCATCAAGGCACATAAAGTACTGAGGTGCTAAGGGAAAGGGTCAATGACTCACTTCTAGGACCATAAATGATCAGTTTGGCTCACTTCTTGTTTAATTAGATCAAGTTCTTCTTTTCACATTGTCAATAATGATGAGTAACTTTCCAAACCAAATTTGCAACTATTCCTTTTCAGCTTTGAAAAAAAGACAACACTAGAGGGTGAGATTAATGAACAGGTTGTCATGGCTGTGTGTGGCATATACCTGTCTAAATGGTCTGAGTTAACACCAGTGGTCTTTCTGTTGAATAATCTGGTCTAAAGGATATATGCTTCTAAACCTATGAAGAAAAGCTGCGAAATAGCCCAAATTAATCCAAATCTCAAAAGACAGGCTTACCTCCTGGCCCCGTAGAAGGAGCTGTTGGATTCTCTGTAGCAGAAAGAAACAAAAATGAAAATAATAATTAATTTTCCATGCCATCTGAATAAAACTGGCCAGATCATGGCATCCACTTATTTGCTCATTCAGTCATCCAGTAAACTATCTTAGCATTTCTCGATGCCAGGAACGGGGTTAGTAAGCCAAAGAATCACTGTGCACAAAGACTAGTCTTCCCCTAGCTTTACTTGGGCACTTTTTTAAAAAGTATTTTGAAACTTTCAGATATGGGCATTTCCAAACATACACAGACTAGAGAGACTGGTATAATGAACCTCTATGTACTCAGCTTCAACTCTTATCAACATATGGCTAATGTAGTTTCAACAATAATCCCTACTTCTCCCCAACTACACTCGGGCCTGGATTATTTGAAAGCAACCCAAGACATTTTAGCAATTCCTATTGGGGATGTTTTAGAAAGCAACGAACACTAATCTCCAAGCAGTGGAAGTGGTTGAAGGGCTAAGTAGATCACTGGCCAGTCCCTAGGCAGAGACTAGTGATCTAGAACCCTGAGTTGTTTTAAATATTTCAGAACCTCAGGAAAGTCAGGCTGCAACAACAACCTGACAACTTATGTCAAATGTTATCACTTTTGGCTGGGAATGTGTCAACTTCTTGTATTGGCAGTCACTCTCTTACGCTAATCAGAGGCCCTGGGATTCATAGGGATGGGGTCCTTAAGGGCAAGACTTTAGAATTCAGAGTCCTAAGGCCAGGATGTCAAGGCTATTCAGAGAGAAAACTTAATCATCTTCCTGTAAGTGTGTGAGTTTGTAGAGGTGATGCAAATCCATTAATTTATTTAAAAAATACTTATATAGTACATGCTATATGATGAAAACATCATGATGTTCTATCTCATAAAAATAGATAACAGCCTTATGAGTTAGGTCTTGGTTTTATATGCTAGGAAACCGTGGTACAGGGAGATTAAATAACTTGTCCAAATCTTGCAGCTAATAAGTAGCTGAACTGGGATTTGAATCAAATAAATGCAAATGGAAATTAAAATCGCAAGCAGACAAACTCTGTGCTAGGAAGTGGAGATGCAATAGCAAATGAGAAGTGGTCCTGTCCCTTGAAGGCTCTAATACACTACAATTTGGCCATAATATATGGAAATACAGAACAATATTAATAAATATTGATTTTGTGATATTGTTACAATGCATAATATACTCAATAATATTACATGATCTGTTCATTTTCCTGTCCCTCCGTGGTTTATTCATTGTGAAACACTTCAGTAAACAGCACATGAATGCATCATTTCCTTCAACCCTACAGGGCATCTGCAACGCATTGCCTCTGATGACTTGTCTCTGGTTTTCACTGAGTCCGCCTTATGCCTTTAGGATACTCCAGACACAATCAAATGTTCAGATATGGCTAGCATGCCACCTACTCTATGTGGTCATGTTGACAAATCTAGTTTTAGATGTTATTCAACTGGTCTCTTGTCACTCTGGCATAATGGATGGTGTGCCATCTGGTTGGAACCACACTGGACGACCTTCCCTTAGCCCATCAAGTGGAGAGATTAATTGGTCAAGCATGTATGTTTCCAGACCTCAAGCCAACCATGTAGTGGGGACAAACATGTAAACAGGCAGTTAAAGTATTTTGTGTGTGTGGTGTTAGGATACTCATAGGAAGAACACCTAAACTAGTTTTGAGGGGCCCTCAAAGATTTCCCAGAGGAAATTATTTTTTTAATTTCTTATTTTGAAGTAATTTCAGATTTATGAAAATTTGCAAGAATAGTACAAAGAATTCCTATATATCCTCCACCCCAATGTTATCATTTTATCATATTTCAGTTATTCAATTATTCTCTTTATATATATCTATATCTCTATACATCTATATTTTTATTTATGTCTATATAGAGGCACACATATGTATAAAAATGTATACAGACACATGCATAACTTTTTTCTTGAGAGTAAGTTGTAGACATCATTACACTTTACTCCTAAGTACTTCAAGGTGTATTTTAGAAAGTGGGGATGGGGGACATTCTCTTACATAACCACAGTACAGTGATCAAAACTAAGAAATCAGCATTGATACCCTATTACCTAACCTACAGACCTTATTTAAATTCTCCCAAGTGTCTTAACAATGCCCTACAGAAAGCCATCATCATCATCCGGAATCCAACCCACAATCACCTGTTGCACTTAGTTCTGAGAGAAGGAGATGTTTAAGCTGCACCTGGAAGGGTGGAATGAGTTGATTGAAAACGGAGAAGAGTGTTCCGAGCACAGGAAACAGCAATTAAGAGCTCTTGGGGAACTTCACCGAGTGCAGAAGGGGATGGGATGGGGGAGGAGTGGTGAGAATTGAGGCTGGAGAGGGGCAAGGGTCTGATCACACTGATCTTTTTACTGCATGCTGAGGTGTGTGAACTTAGCCTGAGGACAGGTGGCCACATAAAGGCAAGGTGTTAGTTTTTTTCTATGTGCCCATCTCCCTCTGCCAGATCTGTTCTAGTTGTTCTCTGTATCCTGGGAGGCTGATCTCTATGGATTGTGTCATTGGGGCTTCCTTGTCCTTTGGCCTCTGATTGGTCTTAACCAGAAGGAGGCAGAGGCAGGAGGTATTTATTCACCAGGCCGCCTTCCCACTTCACTGTGGTTTGACAGTAGCTGTATTGTATGGTTACAGCTCCTGCTGGGTGGCTCCCGACTCCAAGCTTTCTGTGGGTTCCACTAAAGCCATTCTCTCCCCTCCCTCCTTTAAGCCTATGGGTAGTGACAGCTTCAATTGTAGCTAGTCCCTGGGTACTTCACCATCTCTTGCTCTTTGCCCACACTTCTGCAAATATCCTTTTACTGTACTCTCCTCATTAAACCCTTACATCTTCTTCCTGCCAGGTAATAACAAACGTAATAAAGAATATGATTTAAAAAAAAAAAACTGAACTAGGCTCAGAGTCCAAAAGTAAAAGGATATGAAAACAACTGTCATAATCTCACATTTCAAAAGTACATTTAAAAAGTACAAAATTTAAAATCATGGCAGTAATAGGACATAATGAACCAAAGTGATGGGAAGCCAGTTTGTAACAAATGTCTTGCTTTCATTGCTCTGAAAGGAGTCCTGCGAAGACAGCCTCTGTCTTTGCAACCTCCTAAGACAGCTCTGTGTGGTGGGGAGGACCAAATCTCTGGAGAAAAGAATTCATCTAAGGGGGTGAAAAGGGAGGAAAGAAACCTCTTAGCAGCAAAAATTTCAGCAAAAGCATAGTCCAATTTGAATACTTTTAAAATGATAGGATTATTTAATCACCAACTAGATATAACTAACAGGTCATTCTACTCCTGTCAGGAAAGGTTGCAGAATTGGAGCCAAGCAGCTGGCTTCACGGACATGAGAAACTTCAGGGACAGATCAAAAATCACTTCAAGTTTAGATAAAGGTCAGTTATAATGGAGGAATTTGGGAAACTCTAGCAGAATGAGACTACAATCTTGCAGGCCAAACCCTTAACAGATCTAGAAGCAAATGCCAGTTGAATTTGCAAGGCATACATAGAGGGTAGCCTGGAAGTTTGAGCCTGCTCATCAAAGTGTCTGCTGTCTGTCTAATCTCAGTGAAACTGGTGTATTTTATAATCCACCTCCTCTGGTTATCATTCTGTTTTGTTAAAGCCCCAGAAAATAATCTCACGTGGCTGTTAGAAGACTTGCAGGAACAATGGCCAGCTTCTTTTTATATTTCTTCTTTATTCCAAGCTCCTACAGCCAACCTCACATGTGGAAAGAATAAAAACTTGTAACCGTCCACTTAGAGGGCTTTTTGTTCCCTGAAGTTCTCGTAATTCTTGCTTTATCATACATAAATCAGACCCTTTCTTTTCTTCATCCCTTCTCTTAGCATCCGATACCCCTCCACTTTGCTAGAATTACTCCTCAATGAGAAAGTGTCATTACATTTCCCTTTGTAAGAATTCCCAATGTTTAACATTGCTGGAATTCTCAGCAAGCTTTCTTAGAGGCTACGTAACAAATTCTTGGAACTAGCAGCTGCTTGAGAAATGAGAGAGGAAGTTGAGAATTCAGCCACATAACGTGAGAGAGGATTCATTACCATCGGAGTATTTGCAAATGAAATTGTTTTTCATGTTGCATCGGTCGTCATTCCACTGGAACATGTAGGGGCCCCCGATTCCGGTGGGTGCTGATGGCTGATGGTACATGACCACGCAGACCTCGCTGCCACAGGAAGGCTCATCCACATACCAGTTCCTGTAGGAAAGGGGTCAACAATGGAGGCAACTGGAGAAAGTACCACAGGATTTCAAAGCCTCTAATTTCCCTTCAATTTCCACTGTGCCATGAACTTAAGATTCTGCTTCAGAACACAATACACAGAGAGGGAGGAACTGAAGTACTGCCAGTAAGTAGAATCACACACTTGCTAATATGGACATCACAGTCAATCACCTGGCATTTGCCACAACCTCTTTGCGGGGAGGAATATATTACAGTATGATGTCTGCAAAGTAATTATGAGAAAAAGCAGCCAGCAGAGCCAGCCTGGACGATCTTACTCCTTTCTTGCTTTTTGATAACTGGGTTTGTTTTTCTATTTTTAGAAATCAAATGCACTGAGAAGAGGCATGACTTACCTCATCCAGAGCTTGCTCTGCTGCCCACCTCCCCATATTTTTTCATTGGCCATAACTGCCTTTCCAGCCCTGGGAAGTAGATGGAAAATTCAAGCACCTGAGCAAGACTTTCCAAAATGTCAGAGGCTGTCAGAGCAGGTGAGAGGGCGGAGACAAGGGCAGGAGGCCCACGAAATCTTTTGCAGTTGTTTCCACTTCGTCAGGCTGATGAGCCCTTCTGTCAGCCTCCACTGCCAGATTTCTGGTCTTTGTCTCCCTAGCTCCTGGATGGGTGCATTAGCGGCCTCAGCTCCACTATCCGTGGTACTTGGAATTAAATGCTGAGTGCTGCCACTCAGTTGGATATGTGGGTGCCAGGTTAAGGCTTTGGATTTCATAGAGATTCTAAGTGCTGCAAGCACTCACCCCATTCATTGATCCAGGGCTGGGTTCTGTAGTCTGCCTGGTTACCCACCTGAGCTGTTTCCTTCTAGCACTCAGATCTTACCCGGATGCTCAGATTACTAGCTGGGCCCTGCTGCTCTGCCTAACTCTTGTCAGAGCCCCACCTTAGGAGACAGCTAAGAGACAGGTCTCCTGGTAGCACCCCATTATGGCTCTGTTTGAGTGCTGTGTTGCCGTCCACTAAAAAGAAGATCCTTTGCTCTACTCACTGGGTTGAACATGCCTGGACAACAGCTGAGCTCGCAACACTGCTTGGACACTATGCCTGGATAGCTGGGGGCCCCGGCTGAGGCTGGGCTCTGCACCTCATTAGTTACCTCCAGGCCATTTTCCAACCCCGTTGGTGGGCCTCCTATCCTGACTTGCCCATTCTCCTTCCCACTGGCCTTATGACTTTATGCTATTTCATTTCACAGATGATGGAATGGATAGAATATTATACTTGGCACCTAGTTTCTGGACTTGAGCCAGCTTTCAGGCTCAGAACTCACAGATAGGAGAGACTAAGTTCCCAGGAGGGGGGTGCCCTGCAGATGCACATGGTAATGATTTTCCCTGTTCTCCCAAAGGGACCCATGACCATTTATTTAAGTAAGCATACACTAGGGAAAGAGGAATATCCAAATACTATAAGGACTGTTGGATATAGGGTATGTTAACATTGATGCCCAAACACTTGAAGTGTCATCAAGGCTACCCAATAGAGTGGGCGCATATTGAGGCCAGGTATTAAGTGGAGTTCTGGCCCAGGATCAGCTCACAGTGGGACCTATCTACTGTTAATTTCCCAGTCCCCAAATATATGAATTGAAAGCTTATGTGGAAAGAGTTAAAATAAAGGAGGAGGTCAAGTGGAAGCCTCTGAAACTGCATTCTTCCCCACCTTCTCCAAGACAGTAAATAAAAACAATATTCAGGGGAAGATGACAGAAAGTAGTGCCACCTCTAAAGATCTAGAGAATGCAAGGGTGGTTTTCCCCCTCATATCTAGTCTGTCTCCTGCAAAAAACAGGCAGATCTTGAAGGATGATACTGGAGTAGCATAAACTCAACCAAGTAGAAGTCTCAATAGCTGTGAGCACCCTAGCTCTTTGCTAGAACAGGTTAACATGCCCTCAGTACCCAGGATGCAGATGGGGTGAACATATTCTTTTCAATCTGTATCAGAAAAATAATCAGGAATAGTTTGCATTCACTTGGAATGGATAACAGTATACATTTATGGTCTTGCCTCAGGACTATACTAATTTTCCTACCCTGTGTCATAATATGGTGTGAAGAGACCTGGGCTGCCTAGACATCTTGCAGAAAATCACACTTGTTTCACTATCTTGTAGATATTATGCTAATTGAGTCCGATGATCAAGAAGTAGCTGGGGGCTAGCTGAGTGGCGCGTTGGTTAAGAACTGGCTTGGGACACCAGAGGGCCCCAGTTCGGATCCCACATATGAGGGCCAGTGACACTGTCCTCTACAGCTAAGATGGTGAACAGCAGCTCAACCTGGAGCTGGGTTGCCGGGAGTCGCCGGCGACGGCGTAGGCTGCAGCCCCTGCTGCAGTGGGTTGCCATGGGCTACTGTGTGTAGCCAGCAGCTAGTGTGAGCAGCCAGCAGCCGCAGTGAGCGGCCGTCCAGAGGCCAGCAACTGATCTGCCTCGCCTGGGAAGAGCGCGTGATGGTGCCAACTTGGGCCAGTGAAGCAACATCCTCCACAACTAGACTGAAGAACAAAAACAACAGCAACTTGTCTGTTCCCCTTTCCCCGATTCCCCAATGCTGTTCCCCTCCCCCAGTTCCCCAATAAAATCTTAAAAAAAAAAAAAGAAGTAGCTGGTACATTGGAGGCCTTAGTAAGTAAGACTCACATGCTGCGAGGGGTGGAGATAAACCCTGTGAAGATTCAGGGACCTGCCACTTCATGAAAATGTGTACATGTCTAGTGATCTAGGGAATGCCAGAGCAACCCTTTCAGATTAAAGGGATTTCATGCAATAACTTGAAAAAGGAAGCATAGCACCTAGTAAACCTCTTGGGGTTCTGGAGGCAGCATATTTCATAACTGAAAATACTGCTCTGGCCCATATACCAACTGACACAAAAGAAAGCCATCTTTGAATGGGGTCCAGAGCAGAAAAGGACTTTGAAGCAGGTCTAGGCTGTGGTGCAAGCAACTTTGCCACTTGGGCCATATGATCAAGTAGACTATTATTAGAAGTATCAGTGGTGGGGGAAATAATGTCATATAGGATTTGTGACAAGCCCCAATGAGAGAATCACAATACACACACCTAGGATTCTGCAATAAGGCCATGTCATCTGTAGCTGAGAAAGATCACTTTTTGTAAAATCCCCCCTGGCTTACTACTAGGCAAGGAGCACTGAGAGGCCATGCAATCCCACTTGCCCATCGTGAGTGAGGTACAGTCAGACACACCTCGTCATAGGTTGAGCAGGCCTGGGATCAATCCATTATAAGATGGAAGAGGTATATACAGGACCATAGGGCCCTGTATGAGTGGGTAGAGCAGATGGCCACTGTTGTACCAGAAACCGCTCCCTCAGCTTACACCTACGGCTGCATAAGGGAGTCCCTTACAACCAGCAGATAGAGGCAGCCTGAGCTTGCTTTGTAGATCTGTCAGCCAAGAATGGGAGTAGAACTCCAAATGGACAACAGCAGCACTAGAGCCCCACTCAGAGGGGGCCTTGAAAGACCAAGTGGTAAGCGGACGTCTTCCCAATGGCCAGAGCTTAGTTAGAGCTCCTAGTTAACCACTTTGTATGGAAAGGGTAGTTATTGGAGGTGAGAATATATAAGGACTCAGGAGTAGGGCAGAGAGCTTGGTTGGCTGATCAGCAGAAAGAAATCTTAAAGTAGAAAGCGTGGAAGATTGGAGACAAGGAGCTATTGGATAGAGTGATGTGAATAGACATGGGAGTAGGCATAAAGTATGAGACTATCACACATTAAAGCCCACCAGAAAGCATCTAGCAAGAGAAACGACTCAGCCAGCCTGTTATCAGCCAGCCTGTTATCAGCCTGGCGAGTCCTCTTCTTCCTCACTGACCTGGCAGTGATCCAGCCTGCCTCCTTTTTAAATTATGTCAAGTGAGTTAGCTGCTGTGGGTTCCACGCACTTACCTGAATGTTGATATGCTGCCATCGGTCCAAACATAAAGGTCCTGGCAGGCTGTGCTATTGCTTTGTTTCTCCTCACGCCTCCTGAGCCCAATCCAGAAATCACCATCAGATGCCAGGAGATTTTCAATGAACTTTTCTATCAGTCTCTGTTCATCTTCAGACTCGATGCTGACAAGCTGGCCCCCATCCCTCCGGCAGGCTGCTCTGGCTTCTTCAAAGTTCAGTCTTCGAGAAGCATCATGGAAGTAAATGACTTTATAACAAGGCCTTTGTGTCCCTCCCCGGCAGACCGGCTGCCCTAGAGGAAAAGGAAGCCAATGTATTTCAGTGTGACCCAGATATACCAGGGCAGGGATGCTTAGAGGCAGGTGAATGAAGCCATCCCTGGGCAGGAATTCTGATTACTCATCAGTGGAGTAATCAGTAACAATGTCTGTTAGGGTTCTCTGAACAAATTAATCCCCTTCCAACCTGGAGATGCAGTGAGTTAAACTATACTGTGTAGGGACTCCGTGTTTGGTTTGTTCCATTACAAATGCTTGAAAAGCAGACATTTTTCATTATCCTTTAAAAGAGAGGTAGATGAAGATTTACGATTTCACTTAAAGGCACACAAATCACACTTTCATGCCATTAGGGAGTCTCAGGGGATAGTGTGGCTTAAAGCGAGGTGTCTCTGTTTGGTGGTTCCTTCAGGTAAGAGAGACATTCTGAAGTTGGGTGTGGGCTCCTCTACCCAGGAGCTCTCTCTGCCTATGTGGCAGGACTGAGAATTCACGCAGTCTATGGTACAAGCAGAAGCTATGAGCATCAGATCCGTGGGGTTTTCTGCTGCTGGTTTGCCTAAAGACAATAGCTAAGGTGTACTGAACTCTCGGTATGTACCATGAATTCTGCTATGGGCTTTTACATTTACACCCAGTCTTTATCTCACTGAACTCTCACAGTAATCCCCTGTTGTAGGTATTGTTTATGCCCCATTTTATAGATGAGAAAACTGAGGCTTGGAGAAATTAAGTAATTTGGCTAAGGTCACATAGCCTCAGCAGCATTGCCTGAGTCAGAACACAGATCTAATTACAAAGTCATGCTGGTAACCACTGAACTATATTGCTCGCTCCCAGTACCCCCCAGGCTCAGGTTGCTCTGGGAGCCCATGTAACATGTCTCATCTGACTGACACCTGAAGGGGGGAAGACCATTTCAAACAGGTGCGTTTCTACTGAGATGCAAATAAATTGTTCACCAGCACACACCTGGCTTGTGTCTGGGTGCCCGAAGCTTTGCTGCACCTGAAACATTAGCTTCGTTGTTCGTTTGTTTAATCACATGTATTGAGTGTACACCGTGCCAGGCACTGTGCTAGGTGCTGGAAATATAGAAACAAATGCCAGTTCCTAGCCCATAGGAGCAAACAGCATGTTTCTGTATCCAGAAGTACAAAGTGAAAACCAAATTGGAACAAGGGGAACCCCTTGAATTGGACTCCGGGTGTGAACTGCTGCCATAGAGCAAGAGATCAAGGATTATTGTTTTGGGAGCCTCTTCCCAGCCCTCATGGAATGTTCTTGTTTTCCTATCTTGTTTTGCAGCGGTGCAGGGAATCGGATAGCATTCATTATTCTCTATACTGTCCATAATATAGGGCAAAAGGCCAAAGACAGTTAACTGCATTTTCAGTGCTAAATGGGAACAGAGCACTTACAGATAATCCAGAAAGCTCCCGCGATTTCTTATTTTCTATTTCTTCTTTCATCGCTTTGGTAAAGAAATTCTCAATAAGCAACAAGTTATAAGAGGTTTGCATCCTCTTCCTTTCTCTGTCATTCTGCTATTGCTAATAAGAGGCCTCAAAAGCAGGACATTCTCACTAAAGAGGTGTTCCAGAGAGACTGGGGACCACCGGCCAGAGAGGCTGTGGCTGGGCGACTGTCTTCGGAGAAGGCTGGGTCAGCTCAGCTTCCACGAGTGCTTCGAGGTGGCTCCAAATGAGGCAGCAACAGATAAATGAGTCCCAGAAACCCTCCATCCGGCCACCAGCAAAACATAAACTGCAGCTGAATTTACTGGCAGTCCCCGCTTTCCCACCGTTGGATTATCAAGGGAAAATATAACACCTTAAAGGAGTTTCCTGTATGGGTCCAGCCTGGTCACACACCCCAAGTCAGCTGGTGAGTGCCAGAGCTGGAAGGAGGCCCAGGGGCACATCTGGTTCCCCTGCCTTCAGGAAGTGTCTTTCTCTTCTCGCTTGCAGGAAGGGGAAGGGCGGAAGGTCCTTCTGTCTTTCATGACCACGGACTAAGTCCATGCGGCCCTAACCCAAGCAGCCTAACTCAGTTACCCTCCCCTTTTGCGGCCCCTGCACCCCATCCCACCCTGAAACCAGCTTTAGGTTCTTTAAATCAGCCTCGCAAGCATGGATCACGGAGTGAAGGTTTTCATTCTCCACCCCTTTTGGCCAGTCGGTCGCCTGCGCGGCGGACCTGAGAAAGGAGCACGGACATTTTCTCCCCGACATGCAGAACGAATGGAAGAGGCGAGAAGCCAAAGCACTGTACCTCCTCTGAGGTCCAAGTCCGGGGCTGCAGTGACACAAGAGGAAGGAAGCAGAGAGAGTCATTCACCGGAGTCAGGCGGGGCATGTCCCGCGCCTACTAGGTTTCTTTTCCGATCTCTAAGCGCTCGAATTCCAGGCGCGGCATCCCAGAAGAGACCCAGAGTAACAGGCTGGGTTCCCACGGCACCTTCGATCCAGAATCCCTACTATACCCACCGTTTCCAGGGGGCAGGACAAGGGAGTTGGTGAACCCTCCCTGCACGGGGACCCCGGTTTTGTCTCGCCGCGCTCAGTGGAGCGGGCCGAGGGGGCGCCTACCGCAGATTAACTCACTGTCCTACTCAGCCTACGTTCCCCGAATTCCCGTAACCCTGGGCTGGGAATGGACTTCGGGCTATCCGGGATATACGGGGAACCCGCGCGGGTCTCATTCGCGGGGCGTTTGCTCCCCTAGAAACAGGGGACGCCCCCCTCCTCCGCCGAGTGCCAGAAAAGAGTCACGGCATCCCTGAAGACGGTCAGCAGCAGCTGGGATGCAGTGGGTGCACCAGCCGAGCCCGCTCGGGAACGTACCCCTGCCCCAGCGCGCGCACTCACCGCTTAGCAGACGACCCGTCGCGCCCCCGGGCTCCGCCAGCAGCACCGCCAGCAGCACAGCCTGCAGCGCAGCTCCCAGCTGCATGGCTCGGCTCTAGCGCGCCCTCAGACACACCCGCGCCACCGCGGTGGAGCCGGCGGATAGGCAGCGGCACGCACCGCAACAGCAACCTCGGCAGTAGCATCTCGGGAGGACCGACGGGCCCGGCACCCGGAGGAGGCGGGGAGGGCGCGGAGCCAGCCTGTCGCCCCTCCGCCCCCTGGGACGTCACTGCGGGGAGGCTAGCCCCTCGGGCTGCCCCGCCCCCGATAGCCTACTCCAGCACGCTAAGCACCAAACGCCCGGCCTGCGGAAGGAGAGTGAGCACAGGAGGGGAGCCAGCTTCCCGCCCCACACCGAGCCTTCCAGGGAGATCCTGCTTTTGCCTAGGGCGCAGGGCCGGGGAAAACCCCAGTCTGGCTTCTCTGAAATCTGAAGAAGAGAGCCCTGTGGCTAAAAAACAGGACCTCATCTCGCCCCGACTCCTGGGGGCGTAGCCAAATTCACCCAGCGCTCTAGGCTCTGCAGCGTGGGCCAAAGGGAGAGAGGCAAGCATTGAGGCCTAGCTGAGGCTGGGTCGGGTGCAGTCCAGGCGCCCAGGGCTACCCCCCGAGAAAGGTGTGGTGGATACAAGAGTGGAGATGATGAGGTAGGCACTGTGCCTACTGCCCAGGCAAGTTATGGGACAGCGTGGATAGCATCCAGAGAAGGAGGCTAAGCTGGAGTTCTGGCTGAGAGGACAGTAGCTCCACCAGAAGCCGAAGAGTGACCCTGAAAGCAGCAAGGACACATGTTGCAGTGCACATGTTGGGAGTTGCGGGTGATTGTTCAGCCTTCGACTTGTGATAGAAGGGCGATGAATCAGCGACCCCGCCCCACCCTCACCCGAAATAGTGATCCCAGTTCTTCTGGAAAAGCTTTCCTCACCAACCCAGCCCTCAGTGTGTGCTTCTTCTAAACTCCCACAATAGTTGTGTGTGTTTTACACTTGCTTTTTACAGTAAGTAGTAAGCAAAACATTTCCAAATATATTAAGACAATAAAGTGTCATCCTCCTGTCTAAAAAACTAAGGTAATAGTGGCAGAAGGTGGGTGTGACTTCCTCGCCCTTTCCCCCATACCGTGCTCTTATGAAATATAGCTGAAACTCCATCTGGGCTACCGATTACTGGGGTTTGGTCTCAGCTGAGCCCCTGCAATTCTAGACAAACATGCCTGAATACAGGATGGAGGGGAGGAGGAGTCTTTTTCAGTACCAGCTGATAATATGGGGAAGCTCTGCTACTGCAGAAAACAGTAGTGTCACCAGGATGAGAGCTGGCCTTATGGCAAGTTCATTTACCGCCTATCTTTATGTCTGAATTAGAATATCTCATATCCAACATACATTCTTTCTACAAATGCCTGATTATCACAACATTCAAAGAGAGGGTGGCTATGGTAAAAGCAGCTCTTGAATTGGCATCTGATGTTCTCTTTCCAGTCCTGCTTTTCTTCAAGTTTTTTTTTTTTTTGCCTAAGTTTCAATTAAATCATGGTAACACTAAAAGTTTCCTTAGGGGTTTTGTAAACGGTTAAAAAGGCAGCCAGGCACTTAATGTCAAGTGCAAAATATTTATTTCCAATATTACAACATTTATTACAAGTTAGAGAAGCTTTTCCTTGGCCCAATTAATTAGATTATGCCCTGAGTTCTCCCTTTGATGCCCTGGCCCTTGGTCCAGATAGATTTTGTTAAGGTATGCAGTCAACCTAGTGTGGTAGATTACAACCCCAATTCTTTTTCTTTTTCTCTTTTTTTAATTTCAAGTGTACAAAGCAATGTAATAGACATTTACACCCCTTACAAAGTGATAACCCCCCCAATCTACTACCCCTCTAACATCATACACGGCTGTTATAATACCATCGACTATCTCACCTATGCTGTACTCCACAGCCCGTGGCATATATATATATATATATATATATATATATATATATATAATATAAATATATATAAAATATTTGATTATAGTTGACATTCAGTATTATTCTACTTCAGCTCTTCTGCTCAGATGTATAGTGTTTTGGTCAGGCATCTACACAGCCTGTGAAGCAATAACCCCAATTCTTCACACCACCCTTTATCCACACCTTTTACTATGTGACTGCAGTTCCTCTCACTAAAGGGGCGGAGTATATTTCCCCACTTATTGTCTTGATGTTTGACCATGTGACTTGTTTGGCTAACAGAATCAGCCAGAAGTTTCTGAGCCTAGAAAAGGCCTCACATGTTAGTATTTGTTCTTTTGCTTCTCTGCCACTCTCTGGGAGGAATATAGCTCAGATATCCCACTGGCCCATGCATATCCCAAAGAAGATACAAGGAACAGAACTGCCTCAATCAACAGATGCATGGTAGGAAGCAGACCTGCCCTAGGTGCTGTAGCCTGAAGCAGGGCTGTCTGGCCAAGCCTAGATAGGCCAACCCCCTAGCTGACCTACAGATGTGTGAGCAAGAATAAATGTTTGTTTTACACCACTTTGTCATGCAGTGTTGTTGAGTAATACCTAACCATTACACCTGGTAATGCAGAGAAGTGTTATCAGGGGAAGACTGACTGGTTGCCAAGAAAGCTCACAAAGTGGGACTTTTCTTGATAAAATTATCTTGGTCCAGGGTCCATTTCTTAGTTTGACAAGCTCAAACCCAATCTAAGAGATTATTATATTTACATATTGAGAAATATAATTATCAGGTAAGCCAATGTTTGCATTGGCCTGTTAAGCACATACTCTCTCTCTGGGCAAAAGAAGATTTCTTAGTGAGCATGGAATCAGAACAAAGGGAATTAGTTACATGATTTGAAAGTCTAGGCTTTGAAAGTCTGCTATATCTACCTTTACATTAGAGATCTATCTGTCTGGCAGACAAACGCCTCACCCTGATGGGGTACCTTTTATTCTTGATACTGCTGAGGTGAGATTATCATTTCGTAACTTCCTAAACTTCTCTTTTCTAGGCCTGGCTGCCTTTCTTATGTTCAAAACAGTTTTTTCTTCAAATAATGTTGTGGCAGAAACCGCTAGTTGTCCACTAATATCCATTTTCCATTTCTTTGGTGATAGAGTCCTGAATTTTAAGTAGACAGATGCTCCCCACCACCACTCCTTTATTATTTTTTTTATTATTATTATTTTTTTAGCTGAGCCATCCTGCTACCAGTTGGCAGCTCAGCGGCTGCTCAGCTCAGGCTGGACTCGAACCGCTGTTGCTCAGAGCTCAAACTCTTGAGCGAGCTCTTAACCAACTGAGCCACTCGGCTGGCCCACCACCACTCCTTTAAAACCTGTTTCCCAGCCTCCTTGCATTTTGATGTGTCCCTGTGGTTAAGTTCTGACCAGTAGGTCACCCATGCCTCTGTTGGCACTGTGGAGTGGGAGCTGCATTTTACAGACATTATGTCCAGGAGTTGAAGGTGGAGGTCGAGAGAAAGATGAATGGTGTTCTAAATACAGCTGCAAGCACTGGAGTAGAGCATACAACCCTGAGTAGGACTGCCAGTTGGACAATGCAGAAGGGACAAATACTTAACCTTCTTTTTTCCAAAATGTACCAAAGGGAATGACCTTTGAAAGTGAGGGATGTTGGCACTGGTATTATGTACATGTGTGTAACACATAGGAATGCTAAGCCAGCTATTTACAGAACTAGAAGCAATTCATTTCTGACTTCAGACATGTTCCAGAAACTGAATAAGCCAAATTTTGGAAATTTTTTGTTAATAGTAAGAAGACTTGAAAGTTGTCAGGACTGTCCCTTCATCTCTATTTCCTTATTAATTGTATTTGCTGGTGGTCTACAAGTTGGGGTACATAAAGCCCCTATTTCTTGTTTATTTGATATTCATAATATAGATCAAATATAGCAATTCTGGAAATACTTTTCAAATGAAAACAAGGTAAATAGTAGTTTAAGAATGTATAAAATGAGAGAGGTGATTATTGTGTGGTGTCAAATCCAGTAGTCTCTAATAAGTAAAATAGACACAAGTATCCAATAATGGGTAAAATTCCTAAAAGTGTTGCATATTTCCCTTTTATTTCTTTGTCTATTTTAATTAAGTGGTTCCAGTGATTCTGATATAAGAGCAGGTTGTTTCAAAAGTGAATCTCTAAGTGACCATCCTCTACCATGTGTCAATCAAATTAATCCAAGCCTTTGACTTCTTCTTGGTCTTCTTTATCTGACTCTGGAATCACTTTCCTGTTGGCAGTAACATGAATCAGTTCCAAGAGAGAGAACTCTGTAGTTGTGAACACAGTGGAGCATGAAAACAACTTTTGAAAGTTTCCCCAATAAAGATTTACTGTCTTGTATTCTGACTATGCATTAGATTTTGCAACCAAGTGTATAAGCTTATATGTAGAAGTGGTCTGTACTGTGAAGTGTGATTTGAAGGGCATGGGAGAAGACCACCTAATCCTAAATATATTTTGCTCCCCAAAGAGTCAAACTTGGGAGATTTCATCATTGGTAATTTATTTCTTTGGATTACCCATTGTTTCTTCTAGTCAGCCCTCTTTACAATGCAAATATTCTTGGGGGTGGATAATAAACATATTGCTACTAAAATCTTACTATATGCACACTTTCTAGTTCTTTCTTTCTCACAGAAGGGGACCTGGATGATTTAAGATCTGTTGGAGAAGGGATGGTAAGGGTGTATCTGTGTATGTAGGGGTGTTTGGGGCATACAGGAAAGAATGGAGGGAGAAAAGTGAGGGCTAATTTAAGTATTTTACAATTGTGTCTAAAATATTTCAAAATATAAAAAAGTTTATAAGTTAATGTACATTATAAAAACATCATTTCCTAAATTAGCTAATACTGAACTACATGATCTTTTTAAACTAATTTTTTTCTTTTGTTACAAACCTTTTCTGAATTCCTACATGTAGGCAGTGTGCTAGGCACTTTGGGTGACCCAGTTTCTCCTGGAGCTTGCAAGTTAAAACTATGTGAAAAGTTAAATAACAACTCAAAAGATAATAAAACTTAAATACTTATAAAATATGGGCAGAAAGTAGTGCCTGATCAATTGCCAAAAGAAGGATACACAAAAGAAGATTTCACAGTGAAATGGAATGAAATCCAAGGCTTCAGGACAAGAGGAGAGAGAATGGGCGAGCTGACACACAAAAGGAACTAGGT